ACCTGGACTGCAGAGCATGACAGATCATTCTTCGAAACAAAGAAATTGGTAACTGAACCACCGCTGTTAAGCTACTATGATCCGAGTAAACCTCTCGTTGTCCAGTGCGATGCAAGTGAGAAAGGACTTGGGGCAGCTTTACTCCAAGAGGGCCAGCCTGTTGCTTATGCCAGCAGAGCACTAACCCAAACGGAAACGAACTATGCGCAAATCGAGAAGGAGCTGTTGGCTGTCGTATTTGGTACAGAACGCTTTCATCAATATACATACGGTAGACAAGTCGTTATAGAGTCTGACCATCAACCCTTGGAAACTATCTTCAAGAAACCCCTATCGTCGGCACCAAGACGTCTTCAGAAGATGCTAATGCGCCTCCAACATTATGATCTCCAGGTTCACTACAAGAGAGGAAAAGAAATGTACCTGGCGGACACGTTAAGCAGGCATTATTCAGGCGAAACACGAGACAACGACCAAGGACGAGGTGCCCAATCACAATTCGCTGAAAAATTAGAACAAGTCGAGCAGATCGAAGAAATTAACGGACTTGTGGCATCAACCAGCACCATATCAAAATTTAGAGAGGCAACCGCGAAAGATGAAACCCTTCAGGCAGTAAAAGCAACTGTACAGCAGGGATGGCCAAACAGCAAAAGAAACCTCCCCGAGGGGGTAAGTCCATATTTTGACTACCGTGACGAACTTGTATGGCAAGATGGACTTCTTCTGAGAGAAGATCGGGTCGTAGTTCCAGCGTCCCTGAGAAAAGAAATCATGCAGGAGCTTCACATGGCCCACCAAGGGGCAGGGTCTACTTTAAGACGTGCCCGCGAAAGTCTCTACTGGCCCAACATGAGCAGCAACATTAAGGAACAAATCTCCAAATGTGACCTGTGTGCATCTTTCAAGCCACAGCAACGAAGGGAGCCGTTGATCAGTCACCAGGTCCCAGACCGTCCGTGGGCAAAGATTGCAATAGATTTATTCCAGTACCAGAATAAAGATTACCTAGTTACGGTAGACTATTATTCAAATTTCTTCGAGATAGATCGTGTATACAGCTCAACCTCGTCCACTATTATCAAGAAAGTAAAGAGCCACATTGCCCGGTATGGCATACCCAAGGAGCTGGTTTCAGACAACGGCCCGCAGTTCATCTCGCAAGAGTTCCAGTCGTTCGCTAAGGGCTATGGTTTTCGTCATACCCAAACGAGCCCGCACCATCATCAGTCCAATGGTAAAGTGGAAGCTGCCGTCAAGCAAGCAAAGAAAGCTGTGCGAGTAGCCCAGACGAGCAACGGTGATTTCTACCTGGCGCTTCTCAGCATTCGCAACACCCCGCAGGAAGGAATGGCATCAAGTCCTGCTCAAAGATTAGTAGTTGCAGACGGCACTACTTACATCCGAAACCGCAAATATTTGAGGAAAGTCGGAGTTGAAGATTCTGCACAGGATGAACCGTTGACTGCACCAAACGAAGAGCATGAGCAAGCCGCCGTTGAACCAGAGCAACATCACGAGGAAACAGTCGAGACACAAACTCCGACGATTGACCAAATTCCAGACGCCGCAACGGATGTGACATCACAGGCACTCACAACCAGAAGAAGCCGAAGAGTCATCACAAGACCCAAGAGATTGAATGACTATGTTATTTATTAACGAGAAAAAAAAAACATAGGCACAACGATTATAGTAATGACAGTATTGTTTTTTTTTAGTTTGCTTTTATTTATTTTATCCACCTTTTCTGTTTAAAGAAGGGAAGATATAACGATATGATATTTTGACATTGATCAAGGTCGCGTGACTTATTAATTAGACTTTCATATGCATGGGGCATTGTTGGCCCACTATATATAATTTAGGTAGATCGGGCGGTTGATATATATATTTTTCTCTGCTTGCTGTAATGTAAGGACTATGTAAAAAAACAAGTATAAAATATATCTTTATAAAACTTGGCTACTTCAGTAAACGAAACAGGATGGTTCCCTACTTTCGGCTCATACTTGCTGCGCAACAAATTTGTCAAACATTTCTTGGGAGCGAATTGTCACCAAGTCCTTTTGACATTGCCCCTGCGAAGTTTTGACTGGCACAGATTTATTGGTCAAGCGAAAACTTTCTTTGGCCGAAATTTCATTCCTTTTCTCTTTTTCCTAAGTGGAGGCATTGCAACTTTTCACTACAAACAGATACTGTCTACTTGTACCGGTATGTTTTTCAAACTAACTTGCGGAATACAACGAAAGTAATACATAAAGCATGATAAAAACATGAAAACGTAAGACCTAATTATCAGGATTTCATTATCACAGGTTGTTGCCCAGTTGCTACTGCTGTTGGTGATACTGACTGTGGAAAGTCGACAGCTCTTAGGGTGATAGGGAATTTGATGGGAATGCAAACTGTGTCGCAGTCTTCAGGAGAATTTGTGGTATCTGACCTGACCAGATCTTCTATTCAATTGTCATGGGATGATCCCACGTTTTCATCTGTTTTGCGGGCACCTCTTGTGTCCGTTTTTGAGAGGATAGGAAATCAGACGCAAATGCAAGGGTGTGAGAAACCTTTGACGTCATTTCTCCTAACAGTTAACTTTAAGATGGACGACGACTTAAGGTAAATTTATAAAATGAAAAACACGAATAAACATTGCCTCAAATAATGAGTAATTTTTTTGCATGTTCTATAGATCTTTTGAACGGACTACGCCGATCTGGTTTAACAAAATCCTGAATAACGACTGCAAGCAAAATTTCCCTGAACGGAAAAAAAAGCTTCTCGAAGCCGCTTCAACTCATAGCCTCGTGGACATCATAAAGATGGGAGAAACTTTAAACAGCTATAATTTGGTCTGTCATGTTGAATATTTTAAGGGACAATTGGCCGAGCTGTCCCAAAGACTGGCGGACATATATGCCATTTATAGGTTGCTGGTGCACAAGGTAGGTATATACCAGAAAAATCTATATACCCACAAGTAAACACGTGGTTATCTGCATATACCACTTGAAATACTGAAATATGTTTCTATACATTTCAAAAGTTTATCCTTTTTCCGGTTCAGATTATTGACATTGTTGACGACGAGGAAATTATTTCACAGGAGAATGTTGACGATTATTTGAAGGAGTTTCTTCCGTATGTGAAAGCAATCTACAATGTGAGCATCTAAACTGCAACGAGCATCGAAGATGTATCTCGGCAAATTATGGAAGGAGTTCAAAAATTGAATCTCACTAAAAATGAGGCAAGATAAATCCTCTGTAGCTATACAAATGTGCATGGTTTTAATAGTATATTACAAGTGTTTCTCACTTTTTACATTTGCATGTTACTTGGTTTTAGTGCAGATTCGTTTTGGTTCGTTTTCACGTGAAAAGAGGCACATATGAGTAAAAAATTTTTTTGTACGTTCAAAGTAAATGGCAGGAGAGAAGAGTTCAAGTCACTGTTTCTTGGTATGTCAACCAAAGTTAGCTGCCTTAAAGTACCACGCCGCAATTTTAGTAAGAAGTTGCTGAAAGACATTGATACCCGTAAGTAAGTCTTTCCAGTGAGACCTTTTTTGTATTTTGCAATTTGATCAAAATACATTATCCTTTCATTGTAGTTTTTGAAGGTGAGGAAACCGAAGAAATTCAGCAAGACGAATGTTCCAACTGTGCAAGAACTCAACAAGAAATGAAAGATTTGGACGATTCTATCGTGAGAGAATGGAATCGCACGAGGCGCAAATAAAGCAACTTGCAGCAGACCTCGCAACTGCCCTGAATGAACGTGAAAAACAATGTGGGCGTTATAATAAAGAAATCACAACACTCCGCGAAAAACACGAGAAAGAACTTTGTGCCCTTGAAACAAAATATGATAAAGAAGTTGCTACCCTTCGCAAAAAGTGCCATAACACAATTAATACCATTTCTGATGCTCCTGACCCGAAGAGTACACCAGATGACATCAAATGTGGGAGTGTGGCAGGAATTTTTGCTGACATAGCACAAGGTATTTGTGTATAATAGTAGAATTGAAATATCGCGTGTTCCCAATATTCTAATTGGAAAAATCCTCCTGCAGCTTATTCCCATGTGTACCTACTTTTTCTGCAGACTCGATGACACAGAACGCACCACAGGCAGTTAGGAGTTTAAATGACTCGGGTAAGTTAAAAAATCACATTTCTAAAGCGTCCATACAACAAATTTGGTCAGTCAACAAACTGTGCAAAAGTGTAAATGCTGTAAGACTTTTTGTAAATATATTGGGCAAAAATTACTGGCATGTGATTGGTTAATGAGGAGAGCATTTTCCTTAATTTTTGAGGGCAAAATTACTTGTAGTTACAATCAATTGTTTTAATTTTTGTGGTATAATAATTATTTAATCTGATTCTTTAGGCGTCTTCGATTTGGAAGAGAATGAGAAAGGTATGCTGAATTACTTTGTTGGTTAGTTTACTAATGATTGTCAAATATGGTAAAAAAGTAGTACATTTATTCATATAATAATACACGATTATTGGACGATGGGAAGACATCTCAACTAATGCTGAAATTAAGAACAATTACAAATAAATACAAGTACAGTGCACAATTCAATTGAGTATTTTGCACTATTCAATTTAAGATTTTATTTTAGTTTTTAAGTGTTTATGTAAAATGAGAGGGCACAGGTTTGTCAGTATTTTACTATTCTGTTCATACCCTCTCTAATGACATGTGAGTTGAATCAAATATTCTGATGTGCAATAATGTACCATATGTTAAACAAATGTAAGACAAACCTTCCTCAATAGTTGAGTTCATCACTCCACAAGTTTTAAAAAACTCGTTTGTTTTGGATGGATAACCAAGTGATTCTGCTTTTTGGCAGTGAAGTGAGCAGAATGCACGACCTCGCTGTGGTGAAAGTGGGCAAATTTTTGGGTAGTTGACACTACCAAACCCTTCTACTTGAATTGGTACTTTCCACATACAGTGAGCATATCGCAATTTTCAGTTACCATCTGCAACATACAACTGACCACACCCTAGAAGATCAAACATATGTAGCTTTCTCAAAAAATAATGCATACAACTTGGCTTTGAAATTATTCTCAAACTGATATTCTTGTTAATTGAAAATGGTTTGTTATTACAAAGTGGACACACCATACACATAACATTTATCCTTGTAATTATTTGACACGTATTGCGAGGTGTACAAACAATGTTAACATAACTAGCCCTAAGTATGTGGGGCGAAAGCTTCACAAAATAAAATAAAATCTTTTATCCAAATGGCATGCAAAACTTCAAATCTTTTAGTGCTTTTTCCTTTTACCTTTGATTTTGCAATTATTCGAACAATTGTGAGAATACAATTCTGCACACCGCTTCTTGTCTACCATATCCATAATATCATCCAAAGTTCCAGTGTTATCTCCATCTTTTTCTTCCTTAAAATACCATTGTCCCCTTAATCCTAGGGATGCAAGTTCAAGTTCTGTTTCACGACTCCAGAATGATTTTGCAACTACTTTGGCTGACATTTCTCCTGGAAGAATGCCTACAATACACAGAAAATATTTTAGAAGCACATTGACTACTAGCTACCTGAAATACCACCTTACCAAGGTATTGCACATATACTTATTTTTCTCTAGTCACATATAAACAAAAATTAAAAAATCACAGGAGGTCTTTACCTTTATCATCCTCAGTGCACACATTTTCATCTTTATCTGCCGATTTGTCTATAAGACAAACATTCCAGTTATCATGACTAAAAAATTTGAGCTTTTAGTTTCACAAATAATAAATGCATTAATATGTTAAAACCAGTTGACTGTTTAAAGATTCAACCTTGCTTTGACCAATTGTAAGATCTGATTTCTTGCTGATAAATTTCATTATAAGCCTCCGCAAAACCACTAAATGACACCCAACAGTGGTTACTAAAAATTTACAATAAACTTTTCATTATTGATTCATTGAAATAAACAATGTGCAAATCAAGATATACAAAATATTCTGGGCTTCTTTTTTAAAAAACATACATTACCTGAGAGATGGCACCCATTTATAAAGATCCAGTTGAATGTACGTAACGTTGCTGACTTCTATTAAATCAATTGAACCATCATTCGCGGGATAAAACCGCGCGCCGTCATTTTCACAATACTTGCATATTCCATAGTGTATGGAACAATCTCTGCAATCCAAGGTTACCTTGACGCACCGAACTGGCCCACTAAGTGTGTATAACACTGCTGAAGTTGGGTTGCTTCTCATTGATAGCATTTTCTCACATTGAAAACAAATGGATACTGGTGGACTTAAATACTTCAACTTGTCTTCAGAATCTTTTTGCTCCATAAAAGCGGGACATAGGCTTCAATAATTTTGCTGCAGAGAACAAACTCTTCAACAGAAATATCATCCTGAGACATGCGGGACAACGTCAAAAAGATATTAAAGGCATGTGAATGCCGTAAAGAAATTCTGTCCAACACTTGCGTGATGTTTTCTGGAACATCTTCAAGGGTTTTCGAACATTTACGAGTCCTTGAACAGTCAGTCTGAAACCAAGTCTTCTTCTTTAAGGTCGTACACTTTTGACAAAATGTCTTCAAGCTTCACCTCTCGCAATTCATTGATAACCTCACGAAGCCGAGCAGTGCGAGATAATTTCGCCTGTATGCTAGCACGCACCATGTCAATATCAAAAGTGCTCGTCTGTTTTCTTTTCTTCCTTGCTAGCGACATGTTTATGCTGTGAGCACGATTATTACGATACGGAAAAAAAGCACGATCGAGAATATTTCAAGTAGCCGCTAAAATGTTTACCGCGTGTAATATACATGTAACTTTACATCATGTAACTTTACATCATGTAATGATAGAACGCTTTTTTAGCAACATCGCGCACATGCACTGTAATTTTACACCATGGAGCAATATCGCGGACAAAATATTCATCGCGTGCAATTTTACACTGTAACATTACACCATGGAACGATAGAACGCGTTCTTTAGCAATATCGCGCAAATCAACGGCTGATATTAGGCATCATATGTATTATAGCAATGAAGATTTCCATAATGATCTGGAAATTCAGAAAATAATCAATGAGAAGTCCTTGTGTGCTTTGCATTGCAATATTAGAAGTTTGTCTGCTAATCATAATAATCTATCGGTTACATTAAGTTAATTGGGATGTCCTTTTTCATTGATTGCTGTGTCTGAAACTAAAATTAAGTGTGGGGAGGATTTTATAACTAATGTTGATATGCCTGGGTATACATTTGTGTCTCAGCCTTCACTTTCCAATGCAGGAGGTGTAAACTTATTTGTTAAGAATGATCTCAAGCACTCAATAAGAAATTATTTAAGCACCGCTGAAAATTATTTTGAGACATATGGGTTGATCTTAATACTCCTGGTCAAAACATTATATATGGTGTAATTCACCGTCATCCAAAGCACAATTTTGAAAATTTTACAAAATATTTATATAAGATATTGGATCAAATTCAAAATTCAAATAAAATGTGTATTATACTAGGAGATTTTAATATTAATTTATTGAACTCAGATACTCATCGACCAACTGAAGATTTTATCAACAATATGTATACTTACTTTATGAATCCCCAAACCTACAAGAATAACTGACCAGACAGCAACTTTGATAGACAATATATTTTTAAACTCTATTGAATATATTACAATGAGTGGAAATCTTTTAACTGATATAACAGATCATTTACCCAATTTCTTAATTATTAATAGAATTGGTACTTATAAAAAAGAAATAGTATATATAAAAGAAATTACACAAAAATTAATCAGGAAAGAATTATTAATGAGGTACAAACAATTAATTGGGATAATTCATTATTGAATTGTGATAATCCCAATGATATTTTTGATTCTATTTATGGTAAGGTTTCCAGTGTGATTGATACTTATGCACCATTGGAAAAAATATCCAAAAAAGAAGCAAAGTTTAATACAAAGCCCTGAATAACAGCAGCTCTAAAGATTTCGATAAAAACAAAAAAATGTTTATAGGAAATATCTAAAAAATAATTCATCATATAATCATTTTAAATATAAAACATATAGGAATAAATTGAGTATACTTTTAAAAATATGTAAAAGGAATTATTATCAAAATTACTTTGGAAATAATTCATGCAATTTAAAAAAGATTTGGTCAGGCATAAAAGAAATTGTCAATTTAAATAATAAAGGAACACAAGGTATCCCTACAAAATTTAAAAGAAGGTATTGTGGAAACAACTGATGCAAAAGAAATTGCAAATCAAATAAATTCAATAATTTTTTTTCTTCAATTGAAACAAATGTAAGTAATTCTGTTAATGCTGTCGATAAGTCGCCTCTTGAATATATAGATGTCTCGTACACGGACTGCTTTTTTCTATCTCCAGGCACTAGCAAAGAAATAGTAATAGAGATAAATAACTTAAATATTTCTAAATCCACTGGACCATATAGTATTCCAATAAAGCTTCTAAAGGCTCTACATGCTAATCTATGTAAGCCACTTGAAATTTTATATAATTGTTCATTTAATACTGAAATCCCTAATAAGTTGAAATTAGCCAAAATAATCCCATTATATAAAGCAGGATGTCAGAACTGTGTTAATAACTATAGACCTATTGCTTTGCTACAAAATATTAGAAAAACTAATGTATAAAAGATTGATAAGTTATATTGAAAATAATAGTATTTTATTTAAAAATCAATTTGGTTTTCGTTCAAATCATTCTACAATTCAAGCTGTCCTTTCCATTACTGATAAAATCCAGCAAGCGATTGAAAATAAAAAATACTCTTGTGGGATTTTTTGGGATCTGAGTAAGGCTTTTGATACTGTGGATCATGTAATTATGTTGCAAAAGTTAGAGCGCTATGGTTTTCGTGGTATTGTTAATAAATGGCTTGAATCATATTTATCAGACGGAAAGCAATATGTCTCAATAGGAAATACAAACTCAGATGAGGAATTGGTTACCTGTGGTGTTCCTCAAGGTAGTGTGCTGGGACCCTTGTTATTTCTCCTGTATGTAAATGATTTTAGCAACTGTTCCAGGTTATTTGATTTTCACTTATTTGCAGATGATTCCAATTTGTTTTATTCCAATGATAACCTATCCAGTCTTGAACATCAAATAAATATTGAGCTGTGTGAAATCTTTGAGTGGTTGTGTGCAAATGAACTGTCGGTTAATATTGATAAGACGAAATTTGTCATTTTTCTAGTCCTCAAAAAAACGTTGACTATGTGCCTAAACCATATTTAAATGATATGCTCCTGAAACAAGAGGATTCTATTAAGTATTTAGGCATCCACATTGATTCTCACTTAAATTGGAAATCACAAATACTCTATATTTCGAAAAAGATTAAAAGAAGTATTGGAATATTTTGCAAATTACGTTATTACGTCACACTCCCAATACTAATACAATTATACTATTCACTGATATATCCCTTCCTTAGATATGGAATAATTATTTGGGTTAATACATACATGACGACTTTGCACCCTTTGATCTTATTACAAAAGAAAGCTATACGTTTAATGACATTCTCCAATTTTGATGAACATACTGAACCTTTATTTAAAAGAAATAGATTATTAAAACTAAATGATTTAATATTTCTCCACAACTCACTATTTATGTATGATTTCTACAACAAAAATCTCCCTATACCATTCGAAATGTTTTTTTTACCTGTTAAATTGAAACATAGTTATAATACTCCCTTAGCCTCTAAAAATTCGTATTCTCTACCCTTAATCAGAACAAACTATGGGAAATGCTCTATAAGATTTCAAGGTCCAAAAATATGGAACGATTTAGACAATGAAATGAAAATGTTTTCTAGATTCAAGTTCAAAAAGAATATCATTATCAATAGGCTGAATCTCTACATATGATTTGTTATTGTTTTGTGTTTTGTACAATTTTTTTGTTTATTGGCGACCTCATAATGTCTCAAATGAACTAGAGGTTATCTGACTTGATTAACTATTGTTACTTCAGATAACCTGCACTATTTAGTCGAATTTCACTTTGTAATTGTATAATGTATGTTTTCTATGGTGCTAATAAAGTTATTGTTATTGTTATTGGTAAATGCACATGAGGTTGAATTGGTCTATTAGACAAAATATTTCATTATCAATGCTTTCCAATCTTGGCAAGGATGAATTGCTTGAGGTAGAATATAGATATCACTTGAAAAACAGGATACATACTCAATGAGATTCTTAATTGATGATTTAGTTTCTCTTCCTGGTACCCCTTGGTAGCCGACGTCCTCAAGTAAAGGGTATACATCATCATTCAGGGGCCGGTTGTTCGAAAGGTGGATAAGTTGCTATCCAACGGATAACTCGCTATCCAACGGATAAGTTTTATCCAGCGTGTGATTTGCGTTGCACGAAGCTCGGATAACTTTATCCAGCGGATAAAAATCGCTATCTACTGGATAAATCTATCCAAGGTCCGGAGGTAGTTTAAATCCACTATCCAGTGGATAAATTTTTCAAACGTTGAAGAGTTTGCTTTTAAATCCCTTCGTATTTAACATGGCAATATACAGGATGCCTGGTTTTGCGCTTCCCCGGGTCAATATGCGTGCTGACAGGCTATACAGACGGGAAATTCACGATATTTTTGAATACTACAACGATGATGAGTGTAGAGCACGATACTGGTTTGGAAAAGATGCCATTAGATTTATTGTAAATCTTGTTCATAACGAAATTCATCCTCCGACGAATCGTAGCTATGCCTGCAATGAAACAAGTGTTGATTACACTTAGATTTTTAGCGACAGGAAGTTTTCTTCAAGTCATCGGCGACACCTTTGCTGCATTACATAAGTCCACAATTAGTCGAGTCGTACGTAGGGTCTGTATAGCTTTGGCTCGAAAGCTGGATCAATTCGTAAAGTTTCCAGGAACGAGAGAAGAAAAGGATGAAATCAAGCGAGGATTTTACGAACTAGCTGGTTTCCCATGTGTTGTTGGTTGTGTAGACGGCTCACACATTCGCATTATCGCACCGTCGGAAAATGAACCAAACTATATCAACAGGAAGGGTTATCACAGCATAAACGTCCAAGGAATCTGTGATCACAAAGGTACAAAACATTCATTAAATATATTTATACCTTGTTGATGTTGTGTTTTATTACATGTAATACGTGATATAACTTCTTTATTGTATAAACTATGAAAGTCTAATATTGGATAAAT